GATGGAAAAAGTATTTCCTCAAAAAAATGTTGAAAAAACAGCTGCTATTCTTAGAAAACAAGAGAAATATGTCAAATATAGTTGGAAAAGATTTTAAAGGCAAAAATGTAAATACACATTATTTGGACATAAGAAAAAGATCTATCAAAACTTTTTGACCTCTGAGCTCAGCCAAATTCTTAAGTTTTACTTGACATGAGTCCCTGATCCTAGAAATGTGTGTCATTATTGGTATCTTATAGAATTGTCATTACAGATAAATAAGTGCTACTGTATACACAGTGACCAGTCCGCTAACAGAGGCGGTGAGTGGAGCAGCTATGACGAGAGCACCAGTAGGTACAGGTTGGATATGATTTGCCCTGATGTTGGGGCACTGAAGAATACAGTGTTTATAGACCCTAGCATGACAATGTCTTAGGCATGTCCGTCTACTACACTCTGATTCCAAAAATGACAAGTAACATGGTGAAAGTCAGAGGCAAGAATGGTCCAACTGTGAATTTCCTTAATATGCATAAAATTATTCAGAGAATTTATTAAAATATTGAGTTCATCACCCTGCCTTCAAAAAGTCTTCATCATTAAAATAAATAAATAAAAATAAAAATAATTTAAAAAAGTCTTCATCATTAGGCTTATAGTTGTACCCTGTAGCCTAAATTTTAAGAAGGTTTCCAGATTAGTCCGATGTCTCTGGCTCCCCATTCTAAAATATGCTTGCAGAAACACTTCTCTAAATTACGTTCCACTTAGGGAAAAGCACCCTGGCTCTTTGTAAGTAATTGGAATAAATAAGAAAATCAACAACCATGGAAATATAGAAGGAGCGTAATGTGCTCTCGGCGGGAGCCTTCTGTTTATCAGGAATTAGGGTAATTTGGGGTCATCCTCTAATGGCACATCATTCTAAAGTAGGGCAACCAAGGAAGCCGGAGAGACAGGTGTGGGGAAGGAAGTACAGACACATTTCAGTGTCTCTTGAACAATGTTCAGAACACCCAGCTCCATACCAGGGGCGATCAGAGATCAAAGAGCTCCTTCTACTGAAAGACATGCCAATATTTTGATCTTCAGCTATGCGTCCTATGGGACGACTTCCTTTTCCTTTTAGTATCAAACTTTCCCCAGCAAAAGAAATTACAAGCTAAGCTACAAACTATTTGAGATATTAAAAATTGCAGCTGAAATAAACTCTATACCTAGAGCAGGTAGACAATGATTAATGTAGTACCTGTGGTATTCCTGGCCTATTATGCACTGTGATTGAAGTTCCCCGACATAGGGATGTCAAGAAAATAGCTCTGGACAGAAAAGGTCAGACAATCCCTATTTTTGCTCCATTTCTACCAATAGATTTCTGTAAGATTATGAGTCAGTTACTTGACCTCTTTGATGCTTAGTTCTCTTATCTTTAAAAGACGGAAGGTAAATTATATAAGCTAAGGTCAACGTTAGCTGTAATATAATTATCCCATGAAATATAAAGCAAAACCCAAGCACTAAATGTGACCAATTGTTATATCACCATTCTCATAGTAATTTTTTAAAAAGCAATAATTATAGTACAGCTCAAATTAGGTAATATAGTTTTAAGCCTCTTATTCAAACCATTTTATTTTATTTTCAATCTATAGTTCGAATACTGACAACCTCTTGGGCCCTGGAATGAAGCTTAACAATGTCTTTGGCTACAATGGGAAGCATTTGAGGAACAGCAGAAGGCTCTACTTATGCAAAGTCACTTCCCAAATACCACCAAGTTGCCTATCCATTGAGTCATTCTGAAAGAGGATAGAAATAAAAGAAAGTCTTCTCTGCAATTTACAAACATTATCTAAGAGAAAAAAGAGAGAATATATGTGTCTGTTTCCCGTTAGTCAATAGTACCAGTAATTCTTTGGTATTATAAGAAGACAGATTTAGGTTTTAAAGGACATAACATTTTATATAAATATGGGATCTTCTTGAATTAAAAGAACACAAAAGCATTAACATAAAAGCTGATTATAAAAGAACTATTTATTTAGAGTGGCAAAACCAAAATGAATTGCTGAAGCTATGGAAATTCAGGGCCCCTTTTTCATAAAATCTCTTCGGACAATTCACTAGAATTAATTATATAGAAATATTTTTGAAATTTTACCTCTAACTCTATAATACTCAGTTACTGCCAGCCCTCCCAGGGACCCAGGCATGTCAAGGGCTTAAGTTTAATAAATATCATAAAGTCCAAGGTTTATTGAGCCACTAGATTTATGAGCAGAAAAGGACAGCACTACAGAATCAATCCTAAGAAGGGTGGAAAATCAGAAAATAACTTTGGTGTCTGCTTTGTGGGTATGCTCACAGGTAGGCCCTGAGCAGGACTCCTGGGAGTCTTCATACAGAGCTTACAAGTAATAGATCACCAAAAGCAAAATTCACATCATGCAGATGAGTTTATGGGTATTACAAGCAGGCCAAATCCTGCTATTCAAGTAGCCAGGAGAGATAAAGGAGGAGATGAGAAGAAATTACAGAAAGAAAGTTGGGAAGTACAGGGGAGAAGCAAGGGGACATACCTCAAAAGCAGCAAAGGAGAAAAACATCATGAACAAACACAGAAGACGTGCTTCAGCGTCTGTGTCGGTGACTCGATAGTGCTGACCACTTAATTCTCTCACTGTTTATCGGGCTTGGGTGTGTGCAGCAAACTGCAGACTAGGAAGCTATCTAGACTTAACCTGTTAAATCGGGACATTACGATACTAATGGTAAGTCCTTCTAGCCCCCCGTCTGCAAATTAGAAAAATAAACCTGGAGATTGCTGACCTATCAGAGTCCAGTCATTAGCAGAGGCAGGTCTGGAACTCAGATCTCTGTGATGAAAAAATCAGTAACATTTTCTCTACTTTGCAAAAAATGTAGTAAAAAAACCAAAGATAATCTTCTTGTCCTAAGAGAACTTAAACGCGTACCATCTATACTTGTCCACATTCTTCCTTCAAGTCTTATTTCAAATGCCCCAAAATAAATAAGTAAATAAGATAAAGAAATAAAACAAGAAGCACATAAAAGATTTTCTCGGCCGAAGGTAACCCTTTCTCTCCTGGTATGTCGAAGCGTATCTTATACTAGTCATCTTACTCAGTCTGGGTTTCTTCCCCCTCTTCTCATTCTACACACATACACGGAGGAATTATACACAGGGTCACACATATAAAGACCCAGACATGCGCATATGCCCGTAAACAGAGACCCACTGTCTCCTCAGAGAAGCATCTGTGCTAGATCATAGCTTTTTTCTATGTGATGTATATACATAGGTGGCTTCTAAATATTATTTTGCAGAGAAAATTAGCTCAAGGCTCTGTGATGACACCAGCACCAGAATAAAACACCCATCCAATCTCTGCCTTCAGCTGCCCCATCTGTCGTCTGGAACTCATCCTGAGCTCCATTCTCCTATTTGCACTATGTGGTCAACACTTTATTCTAAATATCTGGTACATATTGACAACTCAATGAATTGAAAGTCCTCCAATTTCTTACTCAATGAATTGAAGTCCTCAGATTTCTTACTGTGGCTGTTTTTTCATTGGCATCCACTGAACTCTCAAGCTGAGAACCGTAGTGTCATTATGGATACTGCCCACACTATTACCCCTACACCTCATTGTTTTGCCATTTAATTCTTTCTTTCTTTTTTTTCTATCTAGTGTATCTTCTCTGTTTTTACTGCCACAGTTAAAGTTCAGGCCTTTATTATGTCTATACTGTATTACTGAAGTCATGTAACTGATATACTTGTCTCTGCTCCAATTCCAGTATATACATCTCAGTATAATGTCTCTCTCCTATTCAAAATCCCAATGGCTCCAAATCTCTTACATGTTAAAGTCTGAATATCTCACACTGATAATCGAAGTCCTCTACTTTTTTTTTTTTTTTTGAGACAGAATCTCCCTATGTCACCCTCAATAGAGTGTTGTGGCATCACAGCTCACAGCAACCTCAAACTCTTGGGCTTAAGTGATCCTCCTGCCTCAGCCTCCCAAGTAGCTGAGACTACAGCCACCTGCCTCAACGCCCAGCTATTTTGTTGTTGTTGTTGTTGTAGTTGTCATTGTTATTTAGTAGGCCCAGGCCAGGTTTGAACCTGCCAGCCCCAGTGTATGTGGCTAGCACCCTAACCACTGAGCACGGGTGCCGAGCCTCCATCTATAGTTCCCAATTTACCCCGTTTTACCTCCCTTCAATACCAACATACCAGAAAAGCTGATCTTCTTACTCCTAGTTGTTTCTCATACCTTTATCTTTGTTCCTATAGATCCATTTACTTTCTCTCTTATCTTTTTCCCCTTTATCCAAACCCTAAGTATTCTTACAATCTCCTCAAATGTACATATAGGTAAGAAATAACCTCATTTGTGTCACTTATCACTACCAATCTTGCATTACAGTCATTTGATATGTAGATTTCCACCCGTACATGAGATGCAATATGTTGTTTCTTCTTTAAGGATATACTTGTTGAGTGCCTGAGAAACAACTCATTAATCTTTATAACTCTAACATGCTTAGTAAATGCCTAGAACATTATAGACATTAATTAAATATGTGACTTAATAGATGCATATTAATTTGTCTGGCAATGATAAAGAAAATGTTGTTACCTTTTTTTGTTTAAAAATATCAATACACTGTTTCCCATGAGAAATGTTCATATTTATTTATTTTTGGAGAATAATCAGTAACTGAACTACTAGTATTGATTAACACTTTCAATAATTATTACTTTAAGTGATACGGGACATGCATACAATCCAAGTCCCTAAGGGAGGAACAAGAACTCATCATAATGATTGAGCCTAAGTATATTTCTCATTTTAATGTGTCAAAAAATTTCACAGTCATCAAACAACCCAACCACAACAGTTTTCAATGTAACATCTCCAGGACTGGAAAAAAATATGTGATATTCATTCTGTGCTTAAAGACTATTCTTTATTTCCAAGGTGTGATGGGAGAATATGAGCCGAAAATTGAGGTCCATTTTCCTTTCACGGTTACAGCTGCTAAGGGAACAACAGTTAAGATGGAGTGCTTTGCACTTGGCAAGTAAGTACATATTCTTCCATAATTGGACATGATTATTTATTAAAATGTGGCGTATCTTATTTTTGGATCACTGATTTTTTTTTTCCAGGTTCCATTTTCCTAGAAGCTCCATTGGGGCCATTCATTTTTAAAAAAAGAAAAGAAAATGGGAATTGACAAAGTTACCAATTATAATTACCTTTCTAGTCATTCTATGCACAGTAATGTATATAGTTATGCTATTTTAACATAGAGGAAACTAAACAAAAAAAAAAAAATTCCATCTCTTCATCTCAAAATTTCAACCTAACCTTAAATTTCCTTCAGCAATGATATAAATAAAAAAGGATGAAAAGATTAGATACTATCTGCTCCTCATATATGAAATATAGATTTTGATAAGAAATAATAATGCAACAGATGAAAATCATAATGATAATAGCTACAGTAGTTTGATTATTTCAGTATCTTCTGAAATAAAAATAACACGATAGTACTACCTGTCAACTTGTAGAACAGGTACTTGTTCCCTGAATCAGGGAGGTAATTTATAACATTCACCAATGCCTGCTATACTTAATGACTATTTATGAGAGTTTGCATCTCATGACATATAGTCACTTGTTGATGATTTTTACAATATCAGAGGCAGGAGTGAAATTCCGATTATATTTGATTAGAGTATTATGATTTATTTTAAACTGGGTGTTGATATTTTGTTTTGTTTTGTTTTTTTTTTTTTAGGATGATGAGACCTCAGGGTCCTTTCTAGGTTCTATAATTATAATTTGCATAAATGCATCTCTATCTCCATTACTAATCATTTAACTTCAGTTGCAGTGAATTAACTCCCACAGCATAACGATAAAATACTTGGAGACAAAATATGCCATATAAATGTGCTTATGAAAGTAGGCTTAGCCTGTGGGTGAGGAAAATATTAGTAAAGATGAGAAATTCAGCTAGTAAGTGTAGGTTTAGGGGATGTAGTAATACATTACTAAATACATTACTAAAATACATAGTAATACATTAGTATTACTATACATTACTAAAATACATAGTAATACATTACTAAATACATTACTAAAATACATAGTAAACGCATGTATTTTAATTTCAAGACTTACTGAAATAACATGTATGTGCAATTCATACTCTAAGTAACATTGCAGTAGATTAAAAAAGAAAAGTAAATTGTTATGTGGTCCACCTTTTAAGCAAAAAATACCCACAAGTAGAAATATATTTCAAAACTTAAACTATATCTAGGATATAGGAGGATAGCTATCTGAGGAAGTCTTCCAAACCCACCTATGATATTTAAGGACATAGGATTTAAATAATACTTAAAAATCATGGATTTTTTTTTGTTTGTTTGTTCGTTTTTTACCATTTTCCTTGTGTGGTATCATGTATGCCTAAAAATGTTCCAAGTAAGAAACTCAATTCTGACAAATGCAAAAAATAATGTATTCTGGCTTGATAACAAAGGTTTTAGTACATCCTGCAGTTAAATAATTCTTAACTGCCAAAATTTGTACTGAAGCCACAAACAAAGGGAGGTCATATCGTAAAACAAGTTAGAAAACCATATTTATAGGGGAAAAACAATATAAATATTTCCCCAGGCAAGCTTATTTAATAAGTTAGATGTGGTTGCTTTTGGAAGCCTTGAAATATGCTTAGTAAATTGATGCTTAAAGTCCCTTTTATTCTGGGTAATATCCGATGGTCAAATCTTCTGTGTACTTTTAATACTTTATTTTCTTCAGCTTTCTTGCTCCTCCTTTGCTATCCTTCTCCCCAAAGTAAATAAGTAAAGTAGAGTGGAAGCAGGACATACCACCTCAAAGGCTCCCTTGATCATTTTGTGTCCTTTGTATGAAATGTCACAACTATCAGTAAAAGGAAACATGAAGACATCTACCTCTACCTACAGACAAACCTGCCAGCCTGGGAAACAAGATCAAAGTAGCAGCATCTTGCCTGTGTTACTTCCTTTACAGCCTGTGATCAGGTGGTGTAGATCATCACTGAATCCCAACATGACACAGCAAGTGCAAATTAATGCCTGAGCATCTGCTTAATTCCCACGGCTCACCTGAGCCTCTTCCCACCCCGGTGACGGCGCGGTGCTCCAGTGGGCCTTCGCCTACTCTAAAACCTTCGCATCTGTCGCTAGAGCTCAGTCGGCACTGAGGTTACTCTGTTCCCGTCAGTGTGTCCTCACCAGAATCTTTTAACCAAATTATTATTATAACCAAATTCTGGAACATGCCGAGACCTTTTCTGTCTCATGCCTTCTGCACTTTCTCTCTCCTCTATGGGGAAAGCTTTCCCCCATTTTTTGCACTGTGTATCCCACTTAACTTCTGGCCTTAACTTCAGTGTCACATCCTAGAGAGGTACCATTTGTGACTACCTGGTTTAACTCAGAGTCATTATTCTCTATCTCAATACTTGGTGGGTTTCCCGCCTTTATAATCCTTAACATAATTTTATATTATTCACATAAATGTTTCTCTACTTAAAAAGAATTATGTTATCAGTCTGGAAAAGATTCTAACTTAAATGGTTCTATGAGGTTTAAAAGGACAAGTTGAAGATCTGTGATGGGGATTAAGAGGACCAAGAAGAAAAACTGGGGTATTTATAAACTGACTAGTAAGAATAAGAACTGATTACGACCTTTAAGCCTGAACAACAAGGAGAAGGAGATGGTGTTGTCAGAACCAGAGATACGGAGCTGGTCGGGGAACTGGGGTCACTGTATCCCTAAAGAGAGAGCTGAAGAAGGGATGAAGAAATTTACACCCTGCCTTCTCTTCCTCATGCCCCTCACTTTGGGGGTCCCATGCCTTCTAATCTGCTCTGGGGGGTCCCATGCCTTCTAATCTGCT